GTGTGCGTGCGTGTATCATTCGTACCTGCCCTCGAAGAGTCCATCTGTTCATGTTGACGATCCCCACGAACTGGACCCCTCCCCTTCCACTTCAGGCCCTCGGCAAAATCACAAAGGACGGCGTTTTCCTGGAGCAGCTTGAGACAAACCCGGGCAAGGTCTGCGTTCCCTCATGGATGGCTGATTATGTGTACATATGTGGTCTTGTGTTTCTGTGTGTGTGTGTGGGGAGGGGTGAATGCATATGTGTTTGTTTTATGTGTGAGTGTGTTTATGTGTGTGTGTTTATGTGTGTGTTCACTTGCGCTTCCAATGACCGTACAAACACCCTGCATTCCCTCATCACTCACTCCACCTCCCTGTCCACGACCGCCACTCGACCGCCAGTATCTGCCCGACGTCACCGAGGAATCGCTTGGCGCATCCGATGAGGTGCCGTCCTGCTTGCTCGTTACTTTGCTCGCTTGCTTGCGCGTGTGTGTGTCTGTGTCTGTGTGTGTCTGTGTCTGTGTGTGTGTCTGTGTGTGTCTGTGTGTGTCTGTGTGTGTCTGTGTGTGTTCCTTCGTGCTCGATTCCAAGCGCTCATCGCCGCCGTGCACCCCCACCGCCATCACAGGTTGTGCCCGTGAACCTGAACCAGCCCATGGAAGAGATTCGCAAACAGCTCTCCCAGTACCCCATCCGGTACGCCAACACACACACATGCACACACACACACACACACACACACACACACACACACACACACACACACACACACACACACACACACACACACACACACTGTAAATACACCCCCGTGCCATCGCATGAACTCACTCACCACTTCACATCGTCTTACCTTCCTTTGCCCGTTCCTGTTGTCCCCTTCCTCCATTTGCGTTCCAGCACCCGCTTGTCGCTCAGCGGCACTCTCATTGTCGCCCGTGATATCGCCCACGCCAAGCTGCAGGTACAAGCAGCCTTACAACCACATGAACATGCACACATTGGCACACACACACACACAACACACACACACACACAGACACACACACACACACACACACACACACACACACACACACACACACACACACACACACACACACACACACAACACGTACATGCTGATACTTGTATCCAGTGCCGCCCCCCCCCCCAATTCACACGTGTACGCACGCCTGTGCAAACAGTCTTATCAAACTGCACCTCACTCCACCGCCTTTGTGCTTGCCCTCTGCTGTTTCACTGCGGTTCTCTGCGCGCGCGTTCGCTGTTCACAGGAGCGGATTGATCAAGGTCTCGGTCTGCCGGAATACGTCAAGGACCACATCATCTACTACGGTGCGCAGGCCGCTGATGACAACACATGCTGATGGTGTCGGTGGCGGCGGTGGGTGTTGCTGCTGCTGCTGCTGTTTAAGTTGTTGTTGCTGTTGAAGTTGTTGTTGTTGTTTAAGTTGTTTAAGCTGTTGTTTAAGTTGTTGTTCAATCAACTGCCTTCAAAGCAACCCCATGCCTGCCACTCACCTTCATTCCTCACCGGTTCACCCCACGCAACTGCATTCATGAACATGAACATGCACAAATGCCTGTACATATGTACGTATGTGTGTGTATGTGTGTATGTATGTGTGTATATGTATGTATGTGTGTGTGTACGCATGTATGCAGCTGGCCCTGCGAAGACGCCTGAAGGGTACGCCTCTGGCTCGTTTGGTCCGACCACCGCCGGGCGCATGGACTCGTACGTCCGCTCGTTCATGAAGGAGGGCGGCAGCTTCATCACCCTCGCAAAGGGCAACCGCTCCCGCGAGGTGCGCGTGTCTTTTTGAGGGGGGGGGGGAGGAGGAGGAGAGGCGTGTGGCATATGTGTTTGCTGTGTGCTTGCCGCTGTCTTTGTCACAGTCCTTCATCGTTGTCGGTCATTCCACTTAACATCTGCACATAGCATCCAACGTTCTTCTCCCATCGTCCATGTCCGCTCGCTGACACACACATACACATACACACGCACACACATACACATACACACGCACGCACACACACACACACACACGTACGCACACACACATATACACACGCACGCACGCACGCACATACAATCGTCTTCCCCCTCCTCCCCTGTGCAACACACCAGGTGACCAACGCGTGCAAGGAGTACGGCGGCTTCTACCTTGGGTCCATTGGCGGGCCCGCTGCCATCCTGGCCAAGAACTGCATCAAGAACGTGGAAGTGAAGGAGTATGAGGAGCTTGGCATGGAGGCCATCTGGAAGATTGACGTGGAGAACTTCCCTGCCTTTATCGTCGTTGACAACAAGGGCAACGACTTCTTCCAGGAGTGGCAGGTGTAAGCACTTGCACACGTGCATACGTGATATCCATGCGTGTGTGTGTGTGAGCATGGTGCTTGTGTGTGCTTATGCGTCGTGCAGTTGTTGTGCTGTTCGTCGTCAGGGTGGATATGTGTGCCAAGCCATTGCTTTTGCGCCTTCCTTTCATTTCCTGCGCTCCAGCTCTCAACTCCTGCGTGGTGGCACCGCCAGCTTGCATGCACAGGCCATTCTTTGCGCTTTGCGTGTTGTCGTGTCCGTTTTCGTTCGGTGGCGTTGTCGCTTCTCTCTCTTCACCCGTTGCACCCAAGGCACGCCGCAGTCTGTATCCGCACTCGCGTACTGTCTCGTTTGAAGTCTCGATTGAACGATGACAACGCACAAGCGAGAACTATCGTGCCATCGCACGAAATGCCACAGGAGCCAAATGCACATGCTTGCAACAACACACCCTTGGGCACACACACACACACACACACACACACACACACACACACACACACACACACACACACACACACACACACACACACACATACACCGGCTGCACGACACCCCTATGCACTCTACCACACGTGCATGCGCGTACATCAGAGTAATTCAAGCTGCGGCTGGTGCAGGTGCAGTTTCCTCAGAGTGCTCACCCTTCGTTTCGCCCTCGTCCATCGGGGCTGCGAGCTGCTCGGCGTCTTGTTGGTTCGTTGCATTCGCCACTGCTGGTGCCGGTGTCTTCGCGTCCACCACATCAACGCCACCACCATCGGCCTTGTCGTTGTTGTTGTCGTCGTAGCTAGTTGCCTGCATGTAAACGCCATCCACGCTCTGTTCTTTCATGTGTTGCACCGTGGCGTTGATTTTCTCCTCAGAGTACAGCGCAAATCCCTTTCGCTCCGGCACGGCTGCACGAAGGCCCTCACGCCACCCCTCGCCATGTATCACCTTCAGAAACGCATCAAACACCTGTGGCGCATATGGTGTGTGTGTGTGTGATGAGTTGTGTGTGTGTGTGTGTGTGTGTGTGTGTGTGTGTGTGTGTGTGTGTGTGTGTGTGTGTGTGTGTGTGTGTGTACCTGGTTGATGGAGAGGACGGGTGCATACTTGGTGGCCTTTGCGTTGCTGAACTCCAGAATGGGCAAACGAGCAGTCACAATGCCAGCCTTGGAAGGGGGAGGGGGATAGCAGCAGTGGTGAAGAGCACGACAGAACGTCAATGACGAATGAGGAGGAGAAGGAGGGGGTCGAGATGAGTGGTACACAGCACAAGCAAAACAACAGTGAAGGAGAACACACATGCACCCTGGTCACACACACACACAAGCACACACAAGCACACAACCTATCGACCACATCCAAACAACCCAAGCACACACACACACACACACACACACACACACACACACACACACACACACACACACAACCACGTCCGACCGACCTTCTGTGCACGGTTGAGCGTGAAGTTTTTCTGGATGCTCTCGTCCACCAAACCGCCAAACACATACGTCTGGCAAGCACAATCAGAACACCGATATGGAGGAGTTGATCAAGAAGAAGTCAAAAGCGAACGGCACTGCGGCTCTTCAGCACATCGCCGCTGAATGCTTGCAGGCATCAGCACAACAAGAGGAGCGAGTGTGCAAACCTTAGAGGGAACAAGGTCGACGAGAACGTTTGGGGAATCTGGCGTGAGGAAGACAATCTGAACACCACATGAACAACGAGCAGAGGGGAATTGAGACGCAGGTGAGCTGTCGTGGCTGAAAGAATTCGCACGCAACCATCACGCCCACACGCACACCTGCACAGCATGCACGTCACACACACACACACACACACACACACACACACACACACACACACACACACACACACACACACACATACACACACACACAAGTGCATGACAACCATTCTCATTCACACACGAACACACACGTTCTCATACACACCAACGCACCTCGCTTGGGTCAAAGTGGTGAATGTGAGTCTTGTCAGTCATGGTGGCCAAGTAGTCGTCGAATCCAACATTGCGCTGCTTGCACAGGCGATATGGGAGGCCGTTGGGATCGAGACTGGTCAGGTGCAGGTGGCACGGGTGCTGAACAGCGGCAGCGAAGACAGATGAGTGTGGAGGGAGCGAGAGAGTGTGTGCGGGGGAAGAGGGGAGGGGTATTGGGGAAGTTTAGAGTTGGGTGGTGCTGTGAGCAAGTGGGAAGAGACGCCCAGACAACGACTTGCAGTCAGAGAACATGTTGAGAGCAAAGCGAACATACGATTGTGGTGATCACACACGAACAACAAACACAACCAACACAAAATCAAACGGCACAACCAAAACAAAAGCAAATGCAATCACCATAGCGAAGTGTTACCTGTGCGCGGAGGTTAGCGCCGTAGAGGCGTCGAATCTGATCGCTCAACTTGACAATCTCTTTCCTGTTCATGGCGTCACCAAGGCCCATGTCGATGGCAACTCGGATGGCGGTTGGCGACTGCATGGCTGCCAGCACACGCGCGCGTCGCTCTTCCCGCTGCTCTTGCTTCGTTTTCTTCTCCACTTGCTCCGTCTTTGCCTTCTTCTCCGCTTGATCCTCAGCCCCGGCCTCCCCTGCTCGTTGGGTTACGTGTGTGGGTGGGGAGGTTGTGTGTGGGTGTAGGTGTGTGTGAGGAGTAGGTTGTGGTGGTCACAAATTGAATCCTGACATAAGTCCACAGCATAACCACAGCGCCAATTGCTGCGTACGTGCTGCCCGTCGTCGTTGCTTGCGTTGTTTTGCCTTTTCCTCCTTCTGCTGCTTCTGGAACCCAATTCGCTTCAACTGCATCAACCCGCACCAAGGTGGAGGAGGATACCATGAGCATGGTGAGCCGATGCATCAACGCAAGCAGTCCAGACAGCACATGTCATCGAAAGCACGAGATGCAATATGTGCGCTGTATTTCGCGTGCACGCACACACACACACATTCAAACACACACACACACATTCAAACACACACACACACACACATTCAAACACACACACACACACACACACACACACACACACACACACACACACACACACACACACACACACGTGCGCGCGCTGTTCGTCGAAGCACAGGTGCACCACACCTTGCGCTTTGCGAGCTGGTTGAGTTTGCGCTCGTGACCGCAATTTGGATCGTACTCGAGCCGCTTGTGCATATCCACGTGATTCGACGGCAGCACACCGGCAGCAACCAGGTCACTCGCCCACGACCGCGCAGCCGCAGCCTGGTGGGAGAAGCATGGGAGAATGAGCTCGGCGGCGCAACGGCATCATGCAACACGTCAGGGTCTCGCATTTACTCTGCACCAGGAATATGCACGCAAATCTACAGCGACTACTGCCCCCCCCCGGCCGCTCTACCGATGCCGTTATTCTCTGATTCCAAGCCCGCACCTGGTCCACGTCGCCTTCATATCGGAGGATGGATGCGGTGTCCGGGGCCGAATGATACGCGAGCGGCGGACAAATGCGACACGCATTCACGTCTGCTCCCAACGCGGCCGCTGCAGCCTGGTGACGCACACACACACACACACATACACGCACACATGCACACACACACATGCACACACACACACACATACGTACACATGCACACACATACGTACACATGCACACACACACACGAATGGGGTTAAGGTATGGCGAGCGTTCGCGCGTCGTGTTGTGCCATTTGACATTGTGTGTATGAGTGTGTGACATGTGTGCGTGAATTCGAGGTGTGTTTTGAAACGGTAGCCACGACATCTACGCACCTTTGTCTTGATCTCTTCCAACACTCTCTCCAGAGCCGCCGGCGTGTTGGCTGGGAATGATGTACACACACGCATACACACACACACACACACGCACACACATGCACGCACACAAATGTGCAAATGCATACAGATAGATGTCAGTCGCCAGCTCGGTTGGTGATGGACAACACAGAGGCGATGCACTGTGCATGAAACGCAAACGTACACGCAAACATACACACGCTTCCACACGCAATCGAGACTACACACACCAACCTACGCGCACACGTATTCACACACACTCCGACCATACACGCATCCATCTACGCATGCACACACACGCACGCACGCACATGAACGCCCGTACCGTTGTGGACGTCGTCGAAGATGTCTGGCATGTGGAGGAGGGTGGAGTGGAGGAGGTGGCAGAGGTGCCAGCGAGCGAAGAACGGAAACGCCATGTGCTGTCGGAACAGCTGCAGGTACCGTGCGGCCAAATCGAGCGAACTCACGGCTGAAGGTGTTGCTGTCGATGATGAAGGTGTTGTTGCTGTTGTTGATTCGAGGGAGAAGAGGGTTGGCTGGAAGAGGAGCTCGGTCGTGGCTACAACGGCATCAGCACCTGCGGCCACAATCGCATATCGTGCGCTGTGAACAACGTGCACCCTGTTCTAACCATGCAGTACACACACACACACACGCGCGCGCGCGCGCGCACCTGTGTGTTTGAGGAATGGCTGAATCTCGTTGGGGGAGTTGAGAGATGCGTGGGCCAATACGGGGAGAGCCGTGAGGGCCCTGAGACGAACAGTTCAAGCCATCATGAAGCACACACACACACACACACACACACACACACACACACACACACACACACACACACACACACACACACACACATACAACAGGGGCAGCAGGTCGCAGGTCGCATGCAGGCACGTTAGCGGCAAACCCCTGGATGTGAGGTATGGGATGCTCACTTGTTTGCGTCATCAACATGTGTTTGCATACCGTGGTACGTGTGAATGCGCACAAACATACACACAAACACACACATACATACAACTACACACAGATGCACACAAACAATGCTGCCCGCCTTCTGGTTCATGACGCACTTGATGCGGGCCACGACATCCCAGTTGCAGATTGCTGCTGTCTCCTCTGTCGTGCGTGTGTCAACGACAATGCCCACGCAGCCTGATTTCTCCACCATTCGCACAAGGCCCTCAACATCCTGCGTCTCATCAGTCACGCGCACGCCAGCAAACACTGCAATGTGTATTTGTGTGCATGTGCGTGTGTGTGTCGGTGTATATGTGCATGTGTGTGCATGTGTGTGTGCGTGTCGGTGTATATGTGCATGTGTGTATGTGTGCGTGTGTGTGTATGAGATGCAGTCACTGAGGACGTATGGTGAGAACATACACACATGCCTAACATGCTAGATACATGTGCGGCAAGCATCAACAACAAAACAAAGCCACCCTGCACACCGTGCTGCACCTTTGTGGCCCTGCTGTGTAGCTGCTGTGAGCATGTCCCCGACCAGATCTCGCTGCTGCAGCAGGCATGCGCCGTATTGGCCTGGTGAAGCCACCCACGAACCACGCAACATGGCCACAGCCGTGAGCACGAGCAAGGCGGGCGTTCAAGGGCATTACTGGCACGCCCGCACTCGTAAGCACGTGCTCCAACGAACACACACACACGCACACACACGCACACACGCACACACACGCACACACACACACACACACACACACACACACACACACACACACACACACACCGTTGATGGCTCGCTTTGAGTTCCATGTGAGGTCAAGGCACAAGGCCTTGCATGTTGGCGCAGCCTGTGAGAAGGGTGGCGCAAGTAACGGGTTTGGGTGAGAGGTAATGCAAGGATGGTGAAGCTCACACCACTTAGCCACCAAGCAGCGAGAGGAGAGACAGAGACAGAGACAGACAGACAGACGAATGTGCACGCAAGCAGGGCATCGTACACGCACGCACCACACTGCAGGCTTCGACGAAGGATTTGGTCTCATTTGCACACAGCTGCAAGACGTCGGTGGTGCGACACAGCAGAGCCGTGAGGTTGTTGTGCTGATTCAACGACGACCGAGTGCAGTAAGCCCAAAATTCTACGCAGTCACACACACACACACAGAAGCACACACACGCACACACATACATGCACACACATACACACGCACACACATGTACACACGCACACACACACACACACACATACACGCACACACGCACACACAGACCATGGTGACGAGGGGCAGGTCGTCGTCGCAGGTGACCATGTGCTGTTCACGATACAGGTCCTCGTTCACCAAGTGCTTGGCATAGAGGCGCGGTGAGAACGCCAGTTGCACACCATACGGCTTGCTGCACATGGACGAACGGAACAATGCAAGAACCCAGTGTACTCGTACGTTGGAAGATGATGGAAAATGCAGTGCAAACCGCGCGATCCCCACAACACCCACGTGTACACTGTGCGATTCAACAACTGTCACAGATGTTGTTCGCAGACACACAACAACAAAAACCCACGTATCTACCCGCAGATACACGCACACGCTTATGCATGTGCACGCACCAGAGCAAGCGGAATGGCAAGTCAGATCCTTCCGCCATTGATCCCATGACAAACTTGGGGGCACCGAGGGTTTCGTTGAAGAAGTTCCATGCCGCCTACGTGCACGGGGCAAGGCACAAGCACCACATTTGAGAGCAAGATTTGCAAATGCAGTTGCTATCAATCACAACAACTGCTATTCCTGCTTCAACCACTCCTGTTACTACTGTTGCAGCGCTGGGGGTGCATTGTACGATGACACGCAAGCCAATGTGTGTTTCACTGCCGCAGCACGAGTGCAGCGCGTGCACATCACGCGCACCGTGACGACAAATCACGAACCTCGTGGCTGGCAGCTGATGGTTTTGCTTCACTCATACTGGAAGAGCAACGTAGCGATGAGGGCGGTAAAAAGCAGAGCGAGGACAGCGGCGACGGCGCTGATAAGCGAAGCTGAGAAGCAGAAGAACAGCAGTGAGATGTAACAGCAACAGCAGCACGACGCAGCGACAACAGCATGTCCGCTCACACCACAACACACGAGACAAGGCAAACGCTGTGAAAGAATATTCACGCCCACACCCACAAATCTTCAGAACTCGCAACAACAGCCCAAACAACAAGCACAACCAAGCAACAAGAAGAAGTCGTTGCTGAGCAGGCTGTTGGTTCCGTTGTTGAGTGCAGGGTTGAGTGTGTGTATGTGTGTGTTCATGTGTGTGTGTGTGTGTGTGTGTGTGTGTGTGTGTGTGTGTGTGTGTGTGTGTGTGTGTGTGTGTGTGTGTGTGTGTGTGTGTGTGTGTGTGTGTGTGTGTGTGTGTGTGTGTGTGTGTGTGTGTGTGTGTGTGTGTGGTGTGTGCGTGGTTTGGTCGTCACAACGAGTGCTTTCTGTGTTGCTGGCTTCTTGGCTTCACAAGCCCATCCACTCACTCAGCCATGCATCACATCTCCGCCTTCACGCTGTGCAGCAGAAAAAGCAAGGACTGTTGAGAATGACGCAGGAGCTGAGCTACATCAAGATCAAGACGGCCAACGAGGCCCGGCTTGCTGACGAAGCACGGACAGAGACGCTGAAACGCAACATCATCGTCCTCGTCCTACACCATCTCCAAGACAACGTCTGTGCCTGTGTGCGTGTCTGTGTGCATGTCTGTGTGCGTGTGTGTGCGTGTGTGTGTGTGTGTCTGTGTGTCTGTGTGTCTGTGTGTCTGTGTGTGTGTGTGTGTGTCTGTGTGTCTGTGTGTGTGTGGCTCTCTGTCTGGCCCTGTGCGTGCGTGCGTTGTAGTTGCTTGTGTGGATGTACGCCTCCCCCCTCCCGCTCAACGCATTACGTTGCACTGTCACCACCACCACAACAACAACAACAACAACAACAACAACAACAACAACAACAACAACAACAACAACAATCACTTAGGGCTATGTGCAAGCGGCGCATCAGTTGGAGCTGGAGGCCGGCATTGCCGCGACAAAGTACGACGTGTGTGACAACATCGACCTGCTAAGCATCGTGCAAGAGTTTGAGGCCTACTACAAGATCAAGTTTGGCAAGGCGCCCAAGCTGATCAAGAAGGCGGTGGGTCCGGAGCTGCGCACGGGTCGACTACGCGGCACGCATCGAATACCAGGCAGCGGCAGCACAGGCGGAAGGAGCTCGCCAAGCAAAGGGCCGTCGTCACTATCCCGCACCAGCACGGGCTCTGGCTCGGATCGGCGAGCGGGGACGGCGCTGCCACGTGTGGAGTCGCCGCCGAACAAGAAGGCGTCCAACACATCGCTGCACCCGCTCCACGACCGCTCAAGCAGCGCTCCGCTCGGCAAGAAGAAGGAACGATCGACAGCGGCCCCATCTTCGTCATCATCATCATCATCAGCGACAGCGCCGTCATCGACGCAGCAGCAGCAGCAGCAGTCAGCGTCCACGTCAAAACACAGACCGCGCCCGCCCCCTGGTCGCTCGTTCACGCCGCCGCCGCAGCCCGCATCAACGGTCGCACCGGTTGTGGATGGAAAGGCATTGGCGGACATGAACCTCACGGGCCAGGCACTGCACAACCCGAGTGCACACCGTCGTGGTGGCGGTGGTGGTGGCGGCAGTGCACGCAACCAACAGCCATTGTCGTTATCATCGTCACAACAACAACAGCAGCAGCAGCAGCAGCAGCAGCAGCAGCAGCAGCAGAGGGGGCGGGTGGTAGGCGGGCAGCGTATTGTGGACATGGGGTCGGAACTGAAGAATGCGATACAGGCGGCGACGCACGAGGCACTGGACAACTACAGCCATCACGACGACAAGCTGCTGAAGCCCGTGAGCAACCTCGGATACACGGGCCAGATGCAGGAGCTGTCCCAGGTCATCAGTCGGGAAATCTACCTCAACAACCCAGATGTCAGGTGCGCGCGGTGGTGGTGGCAGGAGCAGTAGTTGTTGTGGGTTGCTGGTGCTGAGTGGTGGGACATACGATGGTGTTGGCGAACATGTGTCTTGTGCTGAGTTGCAGCCTGTCGTGTAGTGGCATCACCAGTGGCTTTTATCAGTCTCACTTTCCCGTCGCCCGTGCATACATTCATTCGCATCTCTGCGGCACGCTCGCTCCCCTCTGTGTCTCCTGTTTACACACACACACACACACACACACACACACACACACACACACACACACACACACACACACACACACACACACACACACACACAAACAAACACACACACACAAACACGCACGCACGCACGCACGTGTCTGGCGTGCAGGTGGTCGGACATTATTGGCTTGGACAAAGCATGCAAGCTGGTGAAGGAGGCGGTGGTGTATCCGATTCGCTATCCACAGCTCTTCCGCGGGATCCTCAGCCCTTGGAAAGGACTCCTCTTGTATGGTCCTCCAGGCACGGGCAAGGTTCGTTTGCATGGGGGAACACGATCCGTGCATGCACAAGTTTGTGTGCGTGTGTGTGTGTGTGTGTGTGTGTGTGCGTGTGTGTGTGTGTGTGTGTGCGTGTGTGAGTGTGTGAGAGAAAGAGATACAGCAGTCATTGCCGATTCGGAACGTGCTTTGCCCTCCTTTTACTCCATCGTGCTCATCATCATCATCATCGCTACCACCACAACCGGCAATCACGGCACCTCAGACCATGCTGGCGAAGGCGATTGCAACCGAGTGTCACACCACCTTCTTCAACATCTCCGCCTCGTCCATTGTCAGCAAGTGGCGCGGCGACTCGGAGAAGCTCGTGAGTTGACCGACTTTGTTATATTGCTCCCTGTTGCAGGTGCTGCTATCTTTCCCTCTTCCTCTATCCTTGTGCGCCTTGTGATATGTACACACGTCTCTCCATCAAACCCTTCCCAGCACATCGTCTGTTCCACCTCACTTCTCCAACCACACACGCACATGCATACACACACATATACACACATACCCATACACACATCCCCATACACGTACATCCCGCTCCCCGCCCCCTTCTGCAGGTGCGTGTGCTGTTTGAGCTTGCACGGTTCCATGCACCGTCGACCATCTTCCTTGACGAGCTGGATGCGATCATGACCACGCGGTCGAGCGGGGGTACGGGCGACCACGAGGGCAGCAGGCGCATGAAGACCGAGCTGCTCATGCAGATGGATGGGCTCAACAAGTCGGATGACCTCGTGTTTGTGCTCGGTGCATCCAACCTGCCATGGGAGCTGGACCCGGCCATGCTGCGGCGCCTCGAGAAACGCATTCTCGTCGACCTGCCAACACAGGTGCGGTGGGGGTGGGGGGTGGTGGGGCGGAGGAGTGTATGTGATGCACGTGGTTGTGCACGTGGTGGTGGTGGTGGGATGAAGGGTGAACGTGTGGGGCCTTTGGTTCATGCTCCTTGTGCTCATCCAGAACCGCACACACACACACACACACACACACACACACACACACACACATACACGCTCACACACACACACACAACAATACACGCACATATGCAATCTGCCACTTGTGCCACGCAACTGTGGCTGGCGCGTTGCGTGACGACAGGAGGCGCGGCGGGCCATGTTCCAGCACCACCTGCCACCGACGGTGCAGAGCGAGGACGACGGCGGTGTCATTGACCTCACAGCCAACATCGACTACGATGCTGTGGCCAGCAACACAGACGGGTACTCTGGCTCTGACATTCGCCTGGTGTGCAAGGAGGCGGCCATGAAGCCTGTTCGCCAAATCTTCGATGTCCTGGAAAACCTTGAAGACAGCGACGCTGCACACCACAAGTCAGTTCAGACGAGGGGAGAGGGAGAAGGTAGCGAGGGATTTGTGTGTCTGTGTGTGTGTGTGTGTGTGTGTGTGTGTGTTTCTGCGTGTGTGTGTGTGTTTCTGCGTGTGTGTGTGTGTTTCTGCGTGTGTGTGTGTGTTTCTGAAATAGAGGTTTGTTTGATGTGCACTATTTCTCTGACTTGGTGATGCTGGTGGTGTACGCTGTCTTCTCACGCTGTCATGCACACACACACACACAGCATCACTGTGCGGGCGATTACGACGGAGGATGTGATGGATGCGATTGCCACCACCAAACCTTCCGCTGCTGGATTGCGGGACCGATACACGCAGTGGCAAAAGGAGTTTGGATCTGTCTGAGCTGCCGAGAGAGAGAGAGAGAGAGGAGAGAGAGACAGAGATAGAACAAAGAAAAAAAGAGATGTACTGTATGTGTGTGTGTGTGTGTGTGTGGCGTGAAGAGGAAGGGTGCTGAACAATAATAGTCGCACTTGTTGGTATGTAAGTTTCTGCGCTGCGTGTGAGCTTCAGTAGACACCAAGTCTCTTGGTGTTATGTTCACATTTTCTTTTTCTTTTTTTTTTTTTGTCGCATGAACATTGTCTTCTCCGTCATCCTCCTTGCTTTGTCCACAACAAGCAGAGCAAGAGGACTAAACAACCCAACAGACCAAGCGAGCAGCTAAGCAAAGTACATAAATGTCAACACCACCACCAACAACACCATCACCATCACCATCCAAATCGAGCCAACGAAGCAAAACAGCCAGCCAGAGGAATTGCCTGCAGGCTTGGGTGTTGTGGAGGATTGGATGAAGATGGTCGTGAAAATTCGGCAAGTGAGGGCAAACAACACAACAACCAAAACAACACAAACCCAGCCAGCCAGTCACCTGCACCACACCCCCAACTACCGCGACCACAAGCACAGGTTCGTTTACAGGTTCACTCTCTGTCCTGATCCCTTCTTGCAACCAGCACAACGACGTACTGACGTGAAGAACCTCACTGTTTATTTGGCGTCTCGTACTTTTGAGCATGAGTTGCGTGCTCCTGTCTTCCTTTCTCTTCTCGTTTTCTTCTGGTGCTCGTCTTCGCGCCATTCATGTCATGCCACAACACACCCTCATAACACCACGAACAACACACACACACACGCACACGCAGCATTCCCTCACGTATTTGCTTCATTTGATTGCTCGCCTCGGTTGTAAGGTTGTTAGGGAAGCTGACGCAGACGCTGTGCCAATTCCAGTGTTTCTGTTGACTTTGTGTTGACGGTCGCGACTCCTCTGTTGAAGAACAAACGACACGCACGCACATAAACACACACACGCACACGCACACACACACACACACACACACACACACACACACACACGCACAACTGAGCAAGATGAGTTGCTTTTCCGACATGGAGGAGCTTGAGGGCATTGCCTTCTTCTCCCCAGTGGCCCGCGAGCTTGCTGAGAAGAAAGTGCTGCAGCAGCGCCACGAAGACGAGCTCAAGCGCCAAGAGGAAGAGCAGCAGCGCCTGGTAATGCTGCTTGCCACTGCCGAGTTGCGTGTGTTGCTTTGCTTTTCTCCCCGTGTTTTGCTGGTTGTCATTTCGCGCCATGTGTGTCTAGCAGTTGCCTTCCACTGACGCTGAACAACTGCCTTCTTGTGCTCTGGTGCTGCTGAATATTGTTTTGTGTATGTGCGCGCGCTTTCGTGGTTTCTCCTTGCAGGCGGAAGAAGCTGCAAAGCGCGAGAAGGCTGAGCGGATTGAGGCTCGCCGGCTCAAAGCCGAGCAGCGGCTGCAAGAGCTTGCACAGCGACGCGCAGAGGAAGAAAACCAAGAGGCCGAGCGGCTGCGCCAGCTGCAGATACAACAAAAGGTTCCACCACAGTGTCTTGCCAGGGCGTGTAGGGTTGAGCGTGTGTGTGGTGATGTTGCGATGGGGCTTGCTTGCTTGCTTGCTTGCTTGCTTGCTTGCTTGCTTGCTTGCTTGCTTGCTTGCTTGCTTGCTTGCTTGGACTGTTGATGTGTTGGAAGAAGGTGGCTGTTGGTGTGTCGTGCACAAAGCTCAACGCCACCCTTCTTGCCTGCGCTGTGATTCACATCAACAGCAAGAGGAAGCGGAACGCAAGAAGCAAGAGGAAGAAGAACGAAAGCGCCAGGAGGAAGCCGAGCGCAGGCGACAGGAGCAGCTCAGAAAGTACGTGCGTGCGTGCGTGTGTGTCTGTGTGTCTGTGTGTATGTGTGTGTGTATGTGTGTATGTGTGTATGTGTGTGTGTGTCTGTGTCTTTGTTTACGTGACTGTGTGCAGCGTTCTATCCCGTGTCTCTCTTCCGACCATTGAGGCTCAAACTCACCCTTGTCCATACACACGACACACGGCACACAGGGAGCAAGAAGAGGCCGAGCGTGAGCGACAGCGCAAGCTGGAAGAAGAGCGCGAAGAGAAAAAGTACGTGCATGCATGCATATGTATAGTGTCGTGAAGCTGCTGCGTTGCTTGCAAGCAACACGCTTTGACCCCTGTCAAACCGTAACGATTTTGTGGTGAACCGCTGCCTCTTGTCGCCTTTTCCTCGCAGGCGCCAGCGGCTTCAGCACCAGCGCGAGCAGGAGATTGCTGCAGAGAAGCGGTGCGTTGAGGGAGAGGATGTTTGTTTGTGTGTTCCTTTTGTGTGTGTGTGTGTGTGTGTGTGTGTGTGTGTGTGTGTGTGTGTGTGTGTGTGTGTGTGTGTGTACGTGTGTCCGCTTCAGCAATTCTGCATGCTGCTCTCTGTCACAGACTCGTGTTCACATTTTCCACATCTCAACTCAATAGGTGGCTGAAGATTCAGGCCGAGTCTGGGAACATCAAGGTGACGAAGAAGGATGGTGTGTTTGTCGTCACGTCGCTCAAGCCGACTGTCACCGTTGATGACACCATGTTCACCTGGCTCTCCCAAGCACGCGACCTCGAGGGCGTTCCGGTGCGTTTTTTGCTTTGTTTTGTTTTGTTTTGTTTTGTTTTGCTTTGTTTTGTTTTGTTTTGTTTTGTTTTGTTTGCTTGTTTGTTCGTTTGTTTACTTGTTTGTTTGTTTGCACCAAGTTGCGCATACGCCTCCCAGCGCACGCGCCACCCCCTCCAACTCATTTCCATCTTGCCTTCTTTGCTCCCCTTCCACGGCCCATCTTGACCTCACTGCACCTCTTCCATCACCCACCACCAAGTACGATGTTGTGGAGACGAAGCGGGAGGAGGACGAGGCGCCCAAGCCGCGGGCGCTGCTTGCACCGCGCAAACCGGGACCAGAGGGCATCATTGCCGACCGCGAACGCCTCAAGCGCATGCAGAAGGACAAGGAGAACGCAAACAAAGGTCCGGCAATGGAGCCATCGACAGCCGTGGGGGGGGGGAGGATGTGTGCAGGCCAAAAACAAAATAGTGTTGTGTGTGTGTGTTTGTTTGTGTCTGTGTCTGTCTGTTTTTATTTTGTGAGCGCGCGGTTGTTTTGCTTGCATGCATGCAAGCCTTGCAGTCTGCCACATTTTCATGGGAGCTTGGCAAATAATGCGCCCGCTCACATACACACTCACACTCACACACACACTCACACACACACACACACACACACACACACACACACACACACACACACACACGAACGATCACTTCCGTACACCAGCGCTGCTTGAGTACGAGGCGCGTGACGACGAGCAGCTTCGGCGTGGGCTCGGTGACATCCTGTCTGGCCTTGATGGCCCGCACCGCCACGCCGCCCTGCTTGATCTGTACACGCTGCACGCCGCCATGATTGCGCTGCACGGTGTGGACGGATACGAGAAGCACCTCAAGGACCCAAACCTCAACGCCAACATGGCCAAAGTGCCCGACCTGATGCACGAGATCCTCGAGGTGTGTGCATGTGTGTGTGTGTGCATGTATGTGTGCGTGTGTGCGCGCGCCCTTGTGTGCTTGTGTGGTTTTGTGCTTGTGTGCTTGTGTACCTCTGAGTTGTGCAGGAACGTGCCTGCCATCCATCGCATGTCTGCCCGCCACACACTGTGAACAATGCTCAAGTTGTCGTCAAGATCCCCTCTCACACTCGCCCCCTATCACCTCCTCACCTCCCTCATTTTCTCGCCGTCACCGTTATCGCTGTGGCTGCTTGTTGTGCAGGAGGCGCCTGGGAACATCTTTGCAATGGCCATTCTTGGCATGATGCAATTTGCGGGCGAGGCTGTCCTGCGCCATCGCGTCGCGAACATGAACATCATCCCACACGACTACGAGGGTGGGTTGATCTGCGTCTGTGTGTGTATCTCTCTCTCTCTCTCTCTCTCTCTCTCTCTCTCTCTCTCTCTCTCTCTCTCTCTCTCTCTCTCTCTCTCTCTCTCTCTTTGTCTCTCTCTCTCTCTCTCTCCCTCTCTCTCTCTCTCTCTCTCTGTGCTTGGTGCGGAGACGTAGAACATGCATGCATGTGTTGTTTGAGGAGGAGTTCCACTTTGCTGTTCAAATCATGTGCGACCCAATTGCTTGCAAGCCACTCGCCTCTCACTCACCCCTACTGCTGTCTTCACCACTATGGCAGAATGGGTTGGCTGGATGGTTGGCTCGCGCCTGTTCTTCGAGTACCTTGAGTGGTGGAACACTGCGCCGGAGAACGAGCAGCCCGACACGCCCTGGACCCTTCGCGACGAGGAGCGCATGCTGGTGCGTGCGTGTGCGTCTGTGTCTGTGTGTTTTTGTGTGTTTTTGTGCCTCTGTGCATGTGTGTTTTGTGGTTTATTGCGTTTGTATGAGCATGTGTGGGCGTGTGTGCCTAGGTGTGTTCTTTTGTGTGCTGTGTGTGCGTTACACAAGCAAAGGAGGAGAGAGATGGCGCTATGAAGATGTTCAGAATCAGGGCTTGTCCATGCTAATGCAATTCTCACTGCATCTCGCTGTCGGACACCACACAGGCCGTGCCTGTTCCCGACAACGTGAAGACGGGCGCAAAGGAAAAGATGACACAACTCATCAGCGCCTATCTCGCGCCAGGTGGGCCCATGTTCCGATCGGAATCATCTCCGTGGCCGTGGGCGTTTGTTTTTCTTATTCTGTTTGCTCTTTTGTTGTCCCTTGTTTATGTTGCTGAGTTCTTTAGTTGGTTCAACTGGTCTTCGACAACTGCTGCGCCATAGGCACCTGTAGCAAGCTCTGCTGCATACATCGCAACATGACCGCCACCAGACCATCATCTCACGTCTCCCCACGCCCTTCTCTCTTCCTCTTTGTTTCATTTGTACACGTGTGTGTGTGTGTGTGTGTGTGTGTGTGTGTGTGTGTGTGTGTGTGTGTGTGTGTGTGTGTGTGCCCACAGGCCTGGTCCAGCGCATCATGCCCGACCTGATGGCAAAGCTCCCACTTGCGTACTGCCGCCTGGACAAGACGCAGGACGAGCTGGAGAAGATGCTGGTGGGCTTCACTGAGCCGTGGTGCCATTGTGGTTGTGGTTGTTGGACTGTCGTGTAATCGCTTGAGCTTGGCTTTGTGTGTTTGCGTGTGAGGGTCGTTGCGATGTGCGTGTAAAGGGCGTTTGAAATGTGCGTGCTTGCAAGCTCTGCCTTTCTGCGGCTTCCCTCACACTTTGCCCACGACCCTGATGACACCGTTCCCCCCCCCCCCGGCAACACCTGTCACAACACCCTCAGCGCGACTTTTCCGAGGACGAGGAGTTTGGGTTTGATGCGTCCGACTCCACCCCGGAGGGCATGGGGTACAAGTGGGAGCGGCAGCAGTATCTGCTCAAGGAGGCCGAGCGCACCGCACACGATGCCCGCCGCAACGTCGAAGACCTTCGCGTCGACCTCGAGGTCGGGAGATGTGTGTGTGTGTGTGTGTGTATGCGTGTGTTGTGTGTGTGTGTGTGTGTGTGTGTGTGTGTGTGTGTGTGTGTGTGTGTGTGTTGTGTTGTATTGTGGCGTGCGTGTGCGTGTGTTGTGTTGTATTGTGTGTGTGTGCGTGTGTGTGTGTGTGTGTGTGTGTGTGTGTGTGTGCGTGTGTGTGTGTGTGTGTGTGTGTGTGTGTGTGTGTGTGTGTGTGTGTGTGTGTGTGTGTGTGTGTTCTCCTGTTGGGGTGCTTCAGGCTTCCTGTGCTTGTCCTGTGCTTTCTGTTTCGTCCCCGTCCCCCGTCCCTCTGTGTGTTACACAGAAGACATTCATCCATGCCATTCTCATCATACCTATGCTCTGCTGTCATCACGTGTTTTCCAACCCCCCTCCCCTTCCCCTTCCACTACAAACAGGCAGCGCAAGCGTTTGTGGAGACGTCGACGAAGCGCAAGCAGGACCTTGAGGAGAAGGTGGAGGACCTCAAGACGCAGGAGGACGCGCTGCGCAAGGAGCAGAAGGAGCTGCGGGAAGCCATCGACCGCCTCTCCGCACAGCTCTGAAGGACTGAAGGAGATCCCTCCGATACCCTCGCAGCGCAGCGAGTGGCGAGCGTTGTGCTGTGTCTTTGTGTGAAGCTGTGAAAGATGAAAGTGTGAAAGTGTGAAGGAAAGAGTGGGTGAGTGGAGGGAACCGTGTGTTCTTGCTTGCTGTCTTGTTTGCTGTCTTGCTTGCTGTATTCGTGCTGTTGCTTCTTCTGCTCTGCTGTGGAGGGTATCTCTCTATCTCTCTGGCTTTTGTCCTTCTCGTTGTCCTGTTTGTTTCACAAACTCATCGAGCGGTGGATGGGTGGATGGATGTTCCCTTCCTCTCGCGTTTTGTTTTGTTGTGTTTTGTTTTTGTTTGTGCCCCATAAACATGCATTGAATCATTCCATCACACAAAAAACTTATTTTTCCACAAGCAACAAACACAACTCGCTCGCTCGCTCGCTGACATGCATAAACACGTTGCAGTGGAGTCTGCTTGAACGTGTTCTGTCCGTCAAGTGTCAACGGCGCGCCCAACAAGCAGAACAAGCAAGCAAGCAAGCAAGCAAACAAGATGGAACGTGCTGCGGCGTTTGTCAGTGCAAGCGTGCAACAAGCAAGCAAGCAAGCAAGCGGGCTCATTTTTCGCCTTGTAACAAAGCCAACAAGCCACGACAGCAGTGCAGCAGTCGCAGTTGATATCGAGCTTGTTTGCACTGAGGCGGGTTCAGCAAGACACAAGCCATGGCCGAGGAAGAGGGCGAGTCGCCCACGATGATTGAGCAGTCGCAACTGCTGGACATGGATGTGGAGGAAGATGAGGAAGAAGAAGAAGAAGAAGAGGAAGACATTCTCGCCTCATACCAGGAGGAGGATGACGAGCACCAGCAACCACAGCACCAGCAGCCGAGTGCGGGTGAGATGGGAAGTGGTGCCGGCAAGCGAACAGCAGCAGAAGAAGGAGAAGAGGAGGACCTGGGGGACCTGGGGGATGGAGCAGCGCACCACAGGCAACACCAAGACCACCAGCACCAGCAAGAGCAGCACGACAGTGATGTGCAGATGGTGATTGATTCCCCTCGGGATGAGGAAGATGGGGAGGAGGAGGAGCAGGAGGAAGACACGGAGCAGCACACTGAGCATGTGGAGAATGGCGGAGAAGACACGCAAGACGACGACGAAGCAGACGAAAGAGACGAAAGAGATGGAGAGGCAGAGGATGGGCAAACCCATGCCAAGACCACAGACGGCCACGTGATGGGCCTGAAAACAGCCATCAAGCAGGTGAGGCAGCGTGCCAGGAAAACGGTGACGATAGGCAGCGTCTCTGTAGTGCTGCCGGAAGACACCAGCGGGCCAGACGAGGAAGATGGCGAGGAGGAGGATGAGGACGAAATGGAGGAGGTCGGTGAGAGTGGACGCTTGATGGGCGAGAAGCGAGGCATGGAGAACGGCGGCGTGGTAATGGTGGTGGGTGGCGAGCAAGAGCAGGGGCAAGAGGACCCTCGACGAGGCAACGAAGGTGGATGTGTAGGGGACGAGGACGACTATGACAGCATGCTGTCGCAGAAGGCGGATGACCAAGTGTTGACGGGGCAAGTCATTGACCATCTCAAGGGCATCTTTGATCAGCAGCGGTCCACGGAACAGCGCCTGCGGCAGGAGCGCAACGCCGCCCGCACGCACGTGCGCCAACTCAAGGCGGCGCTGGCCAAAGCAACCGCTGCCGCCAACAGCAAACTGGCCCCGTCCAGCCCCCAAAGCCTGCTCCAACTCCTCCACAACCTCGCCAAGCGCGTGCGTACGCACGCCGTGCATATTGCCACCACCTCCACAACGAAAACCACAACCACGACCACAACAACGGCAACAACGACAACCACAACTGCAACTCCCGCTTGTGCGTCGGGAGCGCCACGTGCACAAGCGAATGGTGGCAGCAGCGTTGCTGACGGCAAGCTGACGAGGCAAAACAACACCAGCAACACCAAGATGGTGGATGAGGTACAGCTGCAGGAGGAGCTGGACACCACGCTCAAGTGCCTGGATACCGCTGGCAGCGAACTGCGGCAGCTGACGCACACGACCACGGCGCTGTTCAAGGCCGTCACCGCCAACAGCGACAGCGCGGCGTGGCTGGAGGAGCACCACCCGCACACCATGCAGCGCACAGGCACCGCCCATGCATGCATGCAGGCAACGTGCGATGTCGTTCCCGTCGGCACACAAACGGATGCGCGCGACTTGCCGCTCCCGCCCGCCATCCAGCAGGCCCTCGCCACTCTCAAGGTGATGTTCCGTTGTTTTGATTTGTGTGTGCTTCATGTGCAAGAGGAGAAGCATACATCTTGTGTGTGTGTGTGTGTGTGTGTGTGTGTGTGTGTGTGTGTGTGTGTGTGTGTGTGTGTGTGTCGCGCGGGTACTGGATTGACTTTACGGGAAAAAAAGTGAGGCCCTGAGAAAATTAAGGTGGTGTTGCGCGATTGATAACACCAACCCTTACGTACTGGCTAGTAATTAAAACGCCTGGGCGTTGTACGTGCTAATAAGAATCCCGGAACGCTCCCCCGTACAACCTGCGGCCTGGCAGCCATCCAGGCCCGGGGTTCCATACATTGCTAGCACGGCAATCGCTATTTAATAAAAATTCGTTTACCGGGGCTAGTACGTGGGGTG